GAGTATTACCTAGAATCACTTACTACCACAATTTTGCAAAAGCTGCATTCTGTGTTACCTTATTTTAGTATATTTCAGGTGTCTTTAGGGCCAAATATTTAAAGCAACATTCCTTTGCAAGTGATTATATTTATGATTTATATGAATGGGTTGCTAAGGGTTTTTTTTTTCCCTCAGGTTCTTAAAAGAATTTATTCTAGATGATAAATTGAATGTAAAGCTGTGACAAGTGTATTGATTTATCTTTTTATTTTTATTTCTTCTTTTACCTCCCTGGATAGCCTTACAAACTTTCTTATGGGTGATATCATCAATAATTCATCATTACGACTGCCTGTATCTCAGGATAAGGTAGGCTAAGTTTGTGTGACAGCAAAGCTTTTACTACTTTTAATATTTCAGTTGTTTCCTAATCTTAATCTCAGCACTACTCTTTGATATTTTTAAGTTGACAAATTACCACATTGTGCTGAGAAAATAGACCAATTCATTTTAATATGATAATATGATTACTTTGTGGAGCAGTAATTTGGTTATGCTTTATAAGTAGGAATATATTGTTAAAAGAACATGTCTAATAATTCTGTAGCATTTTATATAATCAGTCATATATTGTAAGGTCCAAAGTTTTAGTAAGGAATTCTTAATTATTTTCCCTTACAGACATTGCCACAGATATTAAACATTGGTGAGACTTAGAAAAATATGCAAAAAATAAAGAGGATGTTAATTTTCTCACACCTACTACAATTTGTGTTTGTTACCATGAAACATCTGTTAACATCACTGTGGGTCTAAAGTGCCTCTAAGAGGATCCCAATAACTGTGTCACAGTATAGGGATTTCTCATTGGTAGAACAATTACTTTGGAATAGTAGAACATGAGGAATGTGTGGAGGTACTGCTTTAAAGATTTATAGTAGTATGTTCGGTTGACTGTTTTTTTCACTAAACACAAGATATTTTAAAAAGCTGCATCCTGGACATAGCAGAAAAAGATTTCAACAAATATCTGGAAGAATGTCATGAACTTACATTATGTCAAAATAATATAAAAACTTTATATTTTTCTTAAAAAGGCAAAAAATATAAATGGCTACTTAAGGCATTTATTAAATCCACTATAATACTACAAAAAAAGATGATTATTTCTATAGCCATGCATTTGAGGAATGAAGGAGGATAAAGAGGACTTAAAATCTTTAAATATTTTTCTGTTATTCACGATTCTTCCTTAATTTTACCTTTTCAAACTGTTGCTGATACTTCAGAAGATCAGAAATTTTATGTGTTGCAAGACTGAACAACTTAAATTATAGGTGTGAACCATTTTTCTATTCATATGCCTCTGTGGTACATAGATATACTGATTCCTTTTTTGATTTTTTTTGGGGGGGTGTTTGTTTGTTGTTTGTTCCAGGGATTGAACTCAGGACCTTGGATTTGCAAGGCAGGCATGTTGCCACTGATCTAAATGCCCAGCCTTGTACTGATTCTTAATAAAAAATACTTTTTCCTTTTTTTTTAACCTTATTTTCCTTTTTTGAGATTTCAATTTGCCCTAAACATTGGAATTGAGAAACTACTGATGATATAATGCTTAAAATAAAACTACATTGTTTGATTAAGGGTCCTGAAAAATATCCTTTTAAAATAATAGCTATACTTTATTTAATAGTGCTTACTAGGTACCCACCACGTTGCTAACCCTGTATTATCTTAATTCTTAAAACAGATTCATTAATATATAATATTCTATCCTCTTTTCACAGAAGGGCAAACTAAAGTTAGATAAGCTTAAACATGTAGCTTAATGTCATACAGTTACTAATAGAGCTAGTAGCCAAAAAAAAAAAAAATAAGAGCTAGCCTTCAGACTAGGTCTCTTTGATTCCTTTTGTATTGAATCTCTACATACTACATATTGTACAACCAATCAGATAAAATTTAAGATCTAACAAATGTTTTAGATGAAGTTTTACACCACCTAATAAGGTAGCCACTAGTTACACGTACCTTTTATATCTAAATTAATTGGTAATTAAATAAAATTTAAAATTCACTTTATAGTCACACTGTCTTCTTTTTAAATGCTCAAGTAATTAAAATGTAACTAGTAGCTACCATCTAGGGTAGTGCATACATAAGGCATTTGCATCATCACAGAAAGTTCTGTACTAAGCCATCCAAAAAACTTTCAAAGACACGTTTGTTATATAATAAAATGGTAAGAAAGATCGATATCATCTATTTATGTCAGCAGTTTATTTTGATTGTGTCTTTAACCTACCAATATTTTGGGGATTTGCTGAAAGTTTTGCCTTAACTAATACAATTAATAAACAATGATGTTGGCCAGGGATTTTTAGCTCAGTGATTCCGCTGCCTGCCTCACAAGCTCAAGGTCCCGAGTTCAATCCCTGGTGCCAAAAATAATAAATAAATAAAAATAAACATTTTTGGATCTTGTGAGACATGGTAATAAAAAAAGCCATATAATTTTTACAGTGTTCTGTTATTTAAACATTTCTCAGGCCCTTTGAGTTTTAAATACTTGAAATTCTTTAGCACAGTACCTAATTAAGGTGAAAAAATTCTGACAGATTTGTTGTCTTTTCTCTAATCTTAAATTTGTTTTCTTCCATGTTATAAGACTTGTGAAAACATTTCTGTGGATTCAGGGGACTCATCCAATGAAAAAGGTAATGCTCAGAATACTTACAACTTTTGTCAGACATTTTGCAGTTTTTTAAAAAATATCTTAGATTACTTAATCTCTCATTGCTTAGTAATCTTACTTAATCTTATATTGTTTAGTAATCTACTGTGTTTATGTCAAATGCAAAATGTATACAGCTTAAGTGGGAAACCCCACAGGAGAGATAGATAATGTCATTATATATATAGACTGATTTAAGAATTATATAAGGCTTGTAACTATGAATAATAGAAATATAAAGGTTAAAAATACATTCTAATTTGAAACAATTTAAACTTTATGAACTTATCACTTAAATTTTTGAAAACTAATTTTTATTGAAAAACATCTAGGAATCGTAATACTTCTTTCGAATTACTGTGTGGCTGTCTCTAACATATATTCCACTGATAATTTTGTTTTCAGGAAATTTTTCTCCTATCGAACTAGACAATGTGTTTTTAAAGAACACTGACTCTGTTGAACTGGCTTTGTCATATGCTAAAACATGGTCAAAATATACCAAAAACATAGTGTCATGGGTTGAAAGAAAGCTTAACTTGGGTAAGTTGTTCTTCAGATCATCTGATTAACTCTGGAGTATAAGAACTGAATTGTTTTTTATTCATTTTCTACAGAGTACTATGATTCCAAGTTAGTGTTTCATTGTAAAAAGTCATTACTAATTTTCATTGTAATAAGTCATTTTTTTTCCTGAAATAGAGATTTCCTTATATTAAATATAGTTATTGAATATTTTCTGTGGGCCAGCCAATAGACTTAGGAATAAAAAAACAAATAGAATATTTATCTCCACCTTTTAAAAAGTCATAATTTTATGCAACAAGTTAATATAGTAAAAGGACATAAAAGCACCAATGAATGTATAAAAGAAGTCAGTGGAAGTTAGAAGAAACATTTGGTAGTTAATCTACCCTAGTATTTTACAATTTAAAAAATGTTTTCATATCCATTATCTCAGTTAATCCTTCCAACCACTGAGAAGGCAAGAAGAGCATTGTTATCTCCATTTTGCAACTGAGACAAGTGATTTTCCTAAGGTCATGTAGCAGATTTGCTTAAGGCCATATAGCATAACTGGAAGAAAATAGAATCTACCAAAGCTGTGTTCTTTCTACTACATTATTTTTCATAGGGAATGCTAATCAGAATCACCTGAATAAACTTAAAGGGACAATGCACAGGCCTAGGTTCCATTCCTTAGAGAGGTAAAGTCTAAGCAAGTGTATTTGTTTCCAGATTGATTCTGATAAGTATATGTGATTAAGAATGACTGCATTATATCATGATGTTTACTATATATGCCATATGGTCATTTTTTTAAATTGAAGAATTACAAATCACTTTAGAGTATGGATAGGAAAATTAAGTTAATTTTGCCTTCTCATATCTTGTGAATCTTTTCAGAATTGGAGTCCACTAGAAATATTCTGAAGTTGGCAGAGACAACTAGAGCTAACATTGGACAAGTAAGTGGTCTATGAATTTGTATAATTTGCTAACAACAGACTACTCATATAAGCTTCCAAATACATAGTGCTTTGCAAAATCAGGAAATCTGAGAGCAAAGAATTTCATTGCTTGTCTTTCTATTTTAAAAAATCGATTAAATCTAAATGGCTATTCATTATTTTTAAAACTAGGAAATTCACAATTTTATGAAAATAAACTCGATGGCCTCTAATTTTGCTAACTGGTTCATAATTACAATTAACTTTTCAGTATTTTTCTCATTCAGTCACATAACTAGTCATTTTTCTAGGGAAAAATTAAAATTTCTCTTTTTGAGGAAGAGTAATGGTGAGTCTGGAGCTCTAGTGACATTTGTATTGTAAAATTTATTTTTCAATTTTAAATTCTAGGCGTTTATGCCACTGCAGTCTGTATTTAGCAGTGCTCTTCTTGATGATATAGAGAGCAGTCACCTTTTACAACAAACAATTGCAACTCTACAAGCCAACAAATTTGTGCAGGTAAAAATTAATCTATATGTGTATTGTACACATTTTTACAGCACTATATTATAAACAGCTTTTTTCTTTCTTTTTAAAAAACTCTTGACAGCCTCTACTTGGGAGAAAAAATGAAATGGAAAAACAAAGGAAAGAAATAAAAGAACTTTGGAAACAGGAAAAAAGTAAAATGGTTAGTATTATAATAGAGCATCATTTAAGATAATCTAAAATTATCTTAGTGTATAACTGCCTACCTTTGTAATTTTTCTAAAATACTGCTTTACCCATTTTCCTGAATATGCTAAAGAACCTACTGTTGAATTTCATATTTCGTGTTTAATATTCTTTTCTATGTAGCTTGAAACAGAAACTGCTCTTAAAAAGGCAAAATTGTTGTGCATGCAACGTCAAGATGAATATGAAAAAGCAAAATCTTCCATGTTTCGTGCAGAAGAGGAGCATATGTGTTCCAGTAGTGGATCAGTAAAAAATCTCAACAAGCAACTAGAAAAAAAACGAAGATTAGAAGAGGAGGCTCTTCAAAAAGTAATGTTTTTTGTTACTTGAAAGTTAAAGGTTTGGTTCTCACACTTCCTCATGTGTTAGAATTCCCTGGAAGAAGGTTCTGATTCAGTGGGGCAGGGCAGATTCGGATGCCTTACATCTCCAAACACATTCCAAGATCCATGCTGTAGCTACTTCTTCTGGGAGGGAGCCACACTTAGAACTGCTGCTCTCAGCAGCTTAAGAATTTGAAGTTTTGTTTGTGAAAGAAGCATTTTACAGAAGGCAGTAATTTAATGTTTTTACTTGATAATTCAGGAAGTTTACTTTTTGGGTAAGTGTAATATAAGTTGTATATACCTGCTAGCGAGCATGGGCTGAAGCTTTGTATTACCTATGAAACATAATTTACTGAATTCGTAATAAATAGAACTGAACATTTATAGACAAACTATATTAAGTGTAAGTTATACTTGACTGTGTATTAAAGTGCCCTTGAATCACCAACCAAAATAGGTTACTATTTGTCCTCTTTAGAAATATTTTATTCAAAATAATTTCAGTTTTCATAAATAGAGTCTTTTCAGCTATTTTAACTTAGTTACAATAAGTATTTGTTTTTCAAATGTAAATTCTAGTAATCAGTGTTGTTTTTTTCTATCGTCCTTGAAGGTGGAAGAAGCAAATGAACTCTACAAAGTTTGTGTAACAAATGTTGATGAAAGGCGAAATGATCTAGAAAATACCAAAAGAGAAATTTTAACACAACTCCGTACACTTGTTTTCCAGTGTGATCTTACTCTTAAAGCTGTAAGTAATTTCTTTAGTGCTGTGGAAGGCAAGAAAAAAAAAAATAGCTCGATATGATAGCACATGCCTTGTAAGTGCAGCACTCTGAAGGCTGAGGCAGGAGGATTGCTGTAAGTTCAAGAGTAGCCTGGGATACATAATCAGTTCAAAGCCAACTTGCACTGCAAAGCAAGACCCTGTTTCAAAAAAGTAGAAAAAAAAGAAGAAAGAGTAGACTTACTTTCTGCAGAAAGGGATGCCTGAAGAGTTAACAACTCAACTCTTAAGAAATTTAAATTCCAAGATTAATAGAACATGTTTGAAAATTAACTTTCAATTTCTAGTAGCAATACAGAGTTTGAGTTATTTTATAAATTTGTCTCCCTTTGAAGTGTGAGAATTTGAGATTGCTTTTAAATCATTGTTTTCCTTGCCTTGGTTGATAAAATTGATTTGACCCCTAGAACTTCTATCAGTACTGTGAAGTTGATTCTTCAAAACTTGAAAAACTAAATATTAAATTGAAGTCAATTATTTATTTGAAGACAAAGTACTCTGTGCTCAGGATTTAGCTTAGTGGCGCCACTCCTGCCTCATACTCATCCTGACTTCGATCCTTGGTACCAGAAAATAAAAGCATTCTACCTTCACATGTTTTCATTTGCCTCTTTAAAACATTTTTTGCAAATAATTTAAATCTTAGAAACTTGGTGTACAGTTCACAAGTTTTAAAAACATGTACAACTTTGTGAAACCTCTACCACAGTCAAGATTCAGAACAATTCTATCACTTGAAAAACATTATTTCTTGCTACCTCTTTGTGGTCAAACTTATTTCCCCTAACCACTAGCATGTGCTGTTATATTCTATATCTTATTAATTTGATCATTTCCACAGTATCATATAAATGGAATCATAGGACCAGGGATTTAGCTCAGTGGCACCATGCCTGTCTCACAAGCTCAAGGTCCTGAGTTGGATGCCTAGTACGGGGCGGGGAATAAATAATAGAATCATATAATATGTTACCTTTTGAGACAGACTTCTACACAGCCCAGTGCCTTTTAAGATTTACATATTATGCCTGTATCAATAGTCCATTTCTCTATATTGCTGAATAGTAGTCCATTACATGACTACCACATTGTTTATCCTTTCACCTTTGGACATTTGTGGTGTTTCCATTTGGCAGTAATTATAAACAGAACTACAGTAATATTTATTTGCACATTTTTGTTGAACTTAAAGTTTTCATGTTTTAGAATAAATACTCCCAAGTGCAATTACTGGTTGGTATCCTAAAAGCATATCTAACTTAAGAAAATGCTAAATGTTTCCACTGTGGCTGTAATCAGTAGTGTATGAGAATTCCAATTGTTCTCTGTCCATGACTTTTGTCACTTGTTGTCTTTAAATTTCAGGTGTGGTTTAGTTGTTGTTTTATTTTGTATTTCGAGAATGACGAATGATAATTGATAATCTTTTTAGGGGTTAATTGATAATCTGTATTTTAATATTTTTAACTGTCAGGAAGCAGATGGTTTTATTTTTTATGAACTCTAGCTTATTGGTCTCTTCTTTTATGGGTTCCACTTTTGATGTTACATCTAAGGTCACAAAGTTTACCTAATCCAAGGTCACAAAGTTTTCTAAAAATTTTGCACTTTCACATTTAGATATATGATTCATTTTGGGTTAATTTTAATGTGAGTCATATTGGGGCTCACTTTTAGCTGTTATGTTAAAATTATCCCCAGTACCAAAAAACTATACTTGTAAGATTTTAATTAATGACTGAGCACCAAAACAGAGAAGTCAGTGCCATTGAGAGAAATTATTTGCTTACATTTCCTGAGAGAAGGGGAAGTCTCATATAGCACAACGCCTTAAAGGAAAATAACCAGATTTAACCACAGAAAGAGTGAGAGTCAGAGAGTTCATTGAGATTTTCCAAGGAAGGCAAAGTAGGTGAGGTAATGGTTTAAGATCTGCTAGTTTGAATAATTCTGATGGACTTTGGGACATAGGGATGGTTTCTAGCTGTTTGGTGCCCACTCCTGGGATAATATAGGGTAGTAGAAATAGTTGGCTTGGTACAAGTTAGCTATGGAATTGGCTTGGACTATAGGCTTGCACTAGTTGATTGCATATGAAAGATACCCTTGGGTATCTAAAAATTGGCTGCCCCAGAAATGGGCAGTCTCGCTAGCTAGGATTCTTTTTAAGATGTCAAAATATCGTAAACCAAAAAAAAATGGTTTTTAATATAGATGACCACTTGTTCCCATTCTATTAGTTGAAAATTCTATGCCATTTCCATTAAATTGACTTTGCATTTTTTCAAAACTCTGTTGACCATATTTGTGTTGTATCTTTCTGGATTCTCTGTTGTGTTTTATTAATATATTTATCTTTTTGCCTAAGTATCACTGTCTTAATTCTGTTGCTTTATGCCAAGCCATAAAAATCAGGTAGATCTTCCAACTTTATTCTTTTTCAGAATTGTGTTTAAAATCCTTCAACTTTCAAAAAAAGAATTAGCTTGTCTATATTTAGGGGAAAAAAATCTTGCTAACACTTTAACTGGAACTGCATTAAAGCTTAGATTACATTGTGCAGAACTGATTCGTATATGTAGCATTTTAACTGTTTAGATGTTTGATTTTTTTTTAAATCAGCATTTTTTAGTTCTTAACAGAAATCTTTAAAAAATTTTGTTAAATTTAAATCTGTATGTTTATCTTGAAGGCTATCATGAGTGCTCTCTCTATATATGTGTGTGTATATATATATATATATATATATATACACACACACACACACACACACACACAAATTGTATATGCATAAGTACATTTAATTTCATACAGTTTAGTTCTATAATATTTAAAAACAATTTTTATATCTGGTTTTGTATCTTACAGCCTTACTAAACTCATTAACTTGTTTTGGGGTTTTTGTAGATTCCTTAGAGCTTTCTACATAGAAAATCATGTTATCCCTAAATAGTGACAGTTTTATATCTTCCTTTTCAATCTGTATTCCCTCCTTCCCTTTCTCCTTTGCTTTGCTCTGCTGGCCCCCTCCTTCTTCGTTGCTCCCCTCCCCTTTCCCCTTCCCATCCTCTTCCTTCCCCTCTCCTGCACAACACAGAATAGGAATGGTGAGAAAAAACATCCTTGCCTTTTCTCCCTCTTAGGGAGAAAGAATTCAGTCTTTCATCATTAAATATGATAGCTGTATCTTTGAAGATTCCTTTTATCTGGTTAAGGAATTTCATTTTTTCCTAGTTTGCTGTGACTTTTATCTTGAATAACTTGGATTTTATCAAATGGTTTTTTACATCATTTGATGTGATAATGTAGTTTATCTTCTTTGCCCTGTTAATATAGTGAATTATATTGATATCTGAGTGGTGATCTAGTCCTACATTCCTAGGATAAGCCCCTCTCCATTGTGATGCATTGTCCCTTTTATATATTGCTAGGTTCATTTTGCTAGTGTTATTTCTGATGCTGATAATTTGTTTACACTCCCTTTCCTCTCTTCCTCTCATTAATCTGGTGAGAAGTTTATAAATTTTACTGATCTCAATTTTTCTTCTTTTAATTTCATTGATTTCTGCTTTTTATTTCTGCTTGTTTGGGGTTTACTTTATCATTTTTTAATTTTTTTTAAAGGCAGAGCTTTTATTATTTATTGAGGCTTTCTTGCTTTTCTCATACAAATTGTTGATGCTTTTATTGCTAACCTATATCCCATAAATTTTGAATTGTATTTTCATCTTGTTTAATTCAAAATATTTTCCCTTGAAATTTCATCTTTGACTTGTGGATAATGTAGAAGTTTAATTTTCCAAGTATTTGAGAATTTTCTATATATTTTCCTGATGCTGATTTCTTATTTAACTCTATTATGGGAGTACTTTATATGATTTCAGTTCTCCTAAATTTGTCGTGGTTTGTTTTACAACCAGGATTGAATCAAAAACACAGAATAAAACGTAGAAATCAATAAAAGTGACAAAATAAAAAGAAAGATCAGTGAAACTAAAAACTGTTTCTTTGAAATGAATGATTATAATTGTTACATGTATACCCTTGAATGTGTGTTCTGTTGTTCACTAGATTGCTGTGTAAATGTTGGGTTATGGTATAATTTATTTCATGTATATTCTTGACTACTTACTTTTAACTATGTCTGTCAGTTATTTTTGAATTCTGTTGTTAGTTGCTTCCAAATTAACAGATTATTATATGATCTTGGTCAGTTGATCCTTTATCCTTATGTCTCTTTCTGTGCAAATAAATGTCCTCCTTTTAGTTTATTTATCAATATGGTTGTTTCAGTTTTCTTTTAATTGTTTTGAGAATGGTGTTTCTTTTTCCATTCTTTATTTTTAACTATAATTAGGGGAGTTTTCTTATATAGCTTATAAATAGCATATACTCAAGTTTTGACCTTTTTTATTTGAGACAGGGTCTCAACAATGTAATTCAGGCTGGCCTTGATCTCACTATGCCCAGGCTGGCCTCAAACTTGGGGTTATCTTTCTGCCTCAGCCTCTTAAATGCTATAATCACAGGTGTGTGTCATCACACCAAACTTAATTTTGACTTTAAAATTTTTATTTTGACAATCTATCTTTTAAGTGAAGTGTTTAGACCATTTATATTTAATATTATTGTTCAACCAGATAGAGCTGTCCTATTTCTTTCCTGCTTATAACTTAGATTTTTCTTTCATCTATTTCTCTTTATTGCCTTATTTGGTTGACAATATTCTAGAATTAGATTTTATCTATCTGTTACTTGATTGAATGTAATCTGTATGTATGAGAATTGTATTTTTTCTAAAATGCCTATCTGCATTTTAGTTTCTTTATTTTATATACTGAGTTTTTAATTCTCTCTGTATATGTATATTTTTAGATATACTAAGAATTGCCATACACATAATAGTTGACTCCTTATACAGATGAATTCCACATCCATGGGTTCAGGCAACAGCATATTGAAAAGACTGCATCTATCAAACATGTAGTCTTTTTTTCTGTCATTATTTCCTAGACAATATAGTATAATAATTGTGTAATATTTGCATTGTATTAGATATTATAGCTCTAGAGATTACTCAAGTATATAGGAGTATATGTATAGGTTATATGCAACTTCTGTGCCATTTTATATAAGGAGCTTGAATATCAGCAGTTTGAGAATCTGAGCTATGTCCTTGAACTTATCCTAACCTGATTCCAAGGGATACTTACTGTACTTGATATTTCGTAGTCCACTGAGAACTAGTATCTCACAACTTGAAGTGGAATGTAAAACAACCATTTAAGTCTCTTTACCTGCTATGGGTTGTGATCGATACAAGCTTATTATATACTGAAAACTACTAGACCATCTTACAATTTTTGCTTTTAAAGTTATACATATTATGAAGATAAGAGGAGAAAAAGTAGTCTGTTATATTCACCCACATATCCATTTCTGTTCATTTTCCTTTCATTCCTGAAGTTGGTAACATTTTCATTTTGTAAATAGAACTTCCTTTACCATTTATTTTATAGCTGGGTTCCTGGAAACAAACTCTCTTCATTGTCCTGCATTTGAGAGTGTTATTTTCTACTCAATCCTGAAGGACATTTTCACTACATATAGAATTCGAAATACAGAATTTAATTTTGTTCTTGTTTTCTTACTGCTTGAACAATACTGTTCCAGTGTCTTCTGGCCTTCATAGTTTATTGTGAAAAATCCATAGTCATTTGAATCATTGTCTCTCTTATGTGGTATTTATTGCCTTTTTTTTTTTTTTTTTTTTTTTTTTTTTTTTTTTTTTTTTTTTTTTTTTTTTTTTTTTTTTTTTTTGCTGCTGCTGCTGTCAAGATTCCCTTTTTTTTTTCCTTTGTGTTTCGTTTAAATTCTGCAAAATTTGAGTTTTCAGCTATTTGAGTTTTAGTTTTTTGTAGCATTTTCTTTCCCATCTGCCTCTAATACTCAGTGACTCAAATGTTAGGCTTTGTTTTATTCTCTGAAGACATAGATGATCCTTTTTCTCTTTCCAGTCTTCTCTTGATTGTTTATGCAAATGTCCCCAATTTAGAATGGTTCAACTTAAGATTTTTTTACTTTGCAGTGGGTTTATTAGGATATTAAATACATTTTTGACGTAGAATGGTTTTGTTGAGATCTGACCCCATGATAAGTTGAGAAATATGTATATTGTCCTATTTGTCTTCAAGTCATGGGTTGTTCTACTCCTTTGAGTTTTGTATACAGTCCTTCAGTATATTTATTTTTCTATAATAAAATTTCCTCTTTTTTTTTAATGTCTTATATTGCTATGCTGAGATCTCTGTCTTGCTATGTTTCAAGATTGTATGCTTTTATTCTTTGACATTGTTGTCATAGCTGTTTTAGGATCGTCATCTGATAACCCTGGTATCTTAAGTCATCTAAGTTTTGGTGGCTGTTTATTGTCCTTTCTCTTGTAGAGATTTTTATGGTTCTTTGTATGGCAAGTAATTTTGGATGATACCCTAGGTTTTAATACTTTATGTGACTAGTTCCTGTTTATATCGAATGTTTATTCTTTTAAAAATGTTTTAGCAGTATTTGATTCAGTTAGGTTCACTGCCCACCTCCTGTGTGCCTTCTTTTCTGTGCATTGGCTGGGAAGCTGAAGTGTAGCTGGCTTCTCTGTTGCTCTTTAAGAAGCCAGGGGCATCAATTCTTAGTCATTAAGTGAAGGGAAGATTTTTTAAAAAGTAAGAATTTCAAACCTCTTATTCTTTGGAACACAATTCTCCTGGTCTTAAAGGAGGATTCCCTTCAGAGCTTTATATACCTGTTCAGCTGCCATCACAGTAATTTTCAGTGGCAGAAAGTAACTTATTTATATGATTTGTTACCACTTCCTCTGACATCACCCTCAGGAAACTATAAAAGTGGATAAGCACCAAAAACTCATCTGGTTACTGTAACATAATGAAACCTAGGTTTTCATGAATGTCATATTAATTAATGTAAAGCTCTGAGAATGGGTCTGGCATATTACATGAACTTTTAAGCTGTTGTTATAGCAATGAAAGTATTTTTAGGCATTTGTAGAAATTTGTAGGAATAATGTATTGAATGTATTTAAAATACTTAATTATAAAAGCTGAGTACTGTAGGATATATTATATTTGTAGGAATAATGTATTGAATGTATTTAAAATACTTAATTATAAAAGCTGAGTACTGCAGGATATATTATAAATAGTAAAGGATTTTTATTTTTATAGAATTGATAAAATGAAAACAGTGCTATCATTGGTATTTTTACTCCATGTTTTTCACTTAAGAGTTTAGGCAGTTATATTCAGGTCATCATTGAGTACAAGCAGGGGATCCTTAAAAATATATCTATCTCCTAAAATTGTAAACCAGTAAGGATATGGGATGTATTTTTTAATTATACAATTTAAAACTAGTTTTTCTGGAAATGATTACTCCTGCATATTAGATTAAAATTACTTTTGGGTCTTCGAGGTAGCTCAGTGATAGAGTCCTTGCCCAGCACATACAAGGTCGTGGGTTCAGTCCCTAGTGCCAATACATACATACATACATACTTTTTATTTCCAATCTAGCTGATTCATAAATAATATTAGGTAACATAGCATGCCAACAGTGGTATTCAGTGTTATATGATTCTCTTGTGTGACCTGTTTTATTGGTGAGATCATTGATATAAACATATGCATGTTCATAGCATTTTGTATATTCTGAATTGTTTCTGCTTTTTATCTCTAACTGTGACCATAGGTAACAGTTAACCTCTTCCAGATGCAGCATGTGCAGGTTGCCTCCCTTGCAAACAGTTTACAGTCTCTATACGATATTGCCAAACTCTATGATCCAGGACAGGGATACAATGAATTTGTCAAAGCTACAAATTCAGCTGAAGAAGAAAAAGTTGATGGGTAAGAACTACTATATGAATTAAGTTATTTGAAAAGATAAAAACATTTGCTAAGTTTCTGTCTGATATAAGGTGGTACCTTTTCTAATATTGGCAGAATTAACATTAGTATTTTCTGAATTTTTTAAATATTATTTTGTATTTTCTTAGTACATTTAAGGAATAAATGTAATTCCCTTGAGAGGAAAGCTTTCCATTTGACACTGATCTCAGTTTTAACCAGGTCATCAATTACAGACTGTACTATTGCTACTTCTTTCCATGTTTCATCTGTAATAAGTACAAATAATTAAAAAATTTTAGTCACATCTAAAAGAAGCTAATGTTTAAATTATTGTAAATTCATTTAATAAATTTTTCTAAGTTTGGAGTAGACTGAATATTAGTGATGACCTTTGTTTTTTCTTAGGAATGTAAATAAACAATTAACATCTGCATACAGACCTGCTGACTCTTTGGAAGATGCTGTACGCCTTTCTGATAGTTGCGGTAAAATTGAAGAGGACATATGCTCTAACAGTGCAGACACACCAGGTAGTTTTCACATGAAAGGAAACACTTGGCTATGAAAGCATTTTGTTCATGTGTGCTTACTAAATAAACTAGAGCTTTGGAGTTAGAAAGTTAGGCCTTGTGGATTGTAATGGTAAGAGGTTTATTCATAGCTTTAACCACTGTGCCTGATTAACTCCATAACTGGTCTTTGTTAAAGGAATTGTCTCATTTTATTAATGTCAGTATTTTACTTTATGAAACCCACCTGCACCCAAGATTTTACTTTAAATATTTTTTCTTGAAGGTCCTTCTTTCGTAAGATCATGGACATTTGGGATGTTCAGTGATTCTGAGAGTACTGGAGGAAGCAGCGAATCTAGATCTCTGGATTCAGAATCTATAAGTCCAGGTACATAAATATTTAAGTCTATAATAAAAATTCAATGAAAGACTAAAATAATCCTTTTAGGGGATGTTTTTTAGCCACCTAGAATATATCTATATATGTACAGTCTAAAGAAATGAAATAAATCTTCAAATAGTCACCACCTAGCATAAGAAGTAGAATATTTATTAGTCCATTAGAAGCCCCTTATATATATCTTCCTGATAAAATTTTCCTGAATTTTTGTCATTCATAGATATCTTAAATGTTTTAATACCTGTAGCTAACAGAGTTTTACCCATTTCTGGAGCTTATATAAATAGAAGCAGACTTTTCTTTTTATTATTTCATTTGTGTATGATTTATTTTTCATTCATGTATGCATCCCATCAATTTGAGATTCATGTTGATAAAAATAACTGCCTTATTTTCACTACTGTTTTATTCTATGAAGCAAAATAGCATTGTCACATTTTTGGTTGTTTTGTGATTAATTACTATAATGAAAATATTGCATTATGCCATTCATTGCTTGTGCTTATTACTTATTATTAAATTTTATAAATATATTTCAAGATATTTGATATAAATTGTCTCAAAATCCTCAGAGGCAGAGGGTTTTAAAATCACCCCTGGTAGGTTTAAAGAGGTTAACTGGTAACTTGCTATTGGTTATACAGTTAGCAGAAGGTAAGATTTAAACCCATATGATTCTCATTTCCACATTCTTTCTTCATTCCTTTACCAAATGCTGCTCCATTCCTGTTCTAACTGGCTATGATCCCTCATCCTAGGATCTTGCAAGATATGTCATAGAATTGTAACCTGTCAAATTCCAAGGCACTGTATAAAGGAAGAAATTTGTTCCATGCAGCACTGGGATTTGTAGACTGATATAATGTGCTACTTTGCTGTTTCCTTTAACATTATATGAGCCTAAATTTTAGCTCAATATTTGTAGTTAGGGCCGGGGAGGAGATTTAGCTGCCTTGCGAGCACAAGGACCTGAACAAAATAGTTCTCGCTAGCACCAAAAATTAAGACACAGTCTAAAATAGGCCCTAAATTATTTGGGATCCTGTAGGTATCATGTGATGAAGATAGAAATTTCGGATCCTGATCACGTGATAAGTGGGTGAGACTTGGGGAGTGTTTCTCCTGGCAAAGAGGAAACTTGAGCCCATGACAGCCTTCCTCAAATACTGGAAGTGAAAAGGGATGAGTTAGAGTGCTTATTGGCTTCTTTGAGAAAAATGTGACCAAAGGCTGGGATTCGTATGGAGGCAGATATCTGTTAAGCAATAAAAGGTAGCTGGTTTAGAATAGTTTTAAAATGGAACATGTAACCTTGTGATTTCTCAGTTACTGGGAGCAAATGTAAAGCAAAAACTGGGCAACCACCTTTAGGTACATTATAAAGAAAAATACTTTTGGGGAGACTATTTAAAATTATTTGTATGGGCCAGGGATTTAGCTTAGTGGTTCGGTCGCCTGTCTTGCAAGCGCAAGGACCCGAGTTTGATTCCTGGTACAAAAAAAATTAAAATTATTTGTAAAAAGTATTACTAACTCTGAAGTTGAAACTGTTAAGGTCTCGAATTAAAGTGAATCCTTACTTAGATATAATAATTTCAGCAGGGTAAATAAACCTCACTTCTAGTTGGGCTGTTTCCAAACACTTTGATATATGCATCAGTGCCCTTTGCTGACATAGGTTGTATTCTATAGTTTTTGCTCCCAGCTGGGAATCACTGTGCTACTGTTCTTGGCTCTTGTCTTCTGTCTTCGTAGTCCATCAGTTGATGTAGGAGTCAATGATTTTTGTGTATTTTAAAAGGTTTTAGATTGTATTGTATACATTTATTAATAATAATTCAACATTTATTGCCAGTTTTACCATTGCACTAACCACTTTGTCAGATATTAGATATCTGTCATGAATAAATGATACTATGTGTCTTTGTACAGATTACAATTTCTAATACTGTCAGAAATTTGCAGTAAGTTCTCATTAGAAATATGACCCCAAGTTTTAATTTATTTGGAAAGGTCAAATGTGATTAAATTCCTTTCGTGCCTAGGGATGAATATCAGAATTCCTTGTTTATCTTAAGTATGAGAATGGGAATAAATGTTTACATCAAAGTTAATGAAATAAAAAATGACTTGTATAATTCCAAAAATCTTGTCTTTACCTGTTTTTAATATTCTGCAAAGAATAGTTAGGTAATGGAATCACAATTTTCTTTTAGGAGACTTTCATCGAAAACTTCCACGAACTCCATCCAGTGGAACCATGTCTTCTGCGGATGATCTAGATGAAAGAGAGCCACCTTCCCCTTCAGAAGCTGGTATAGTATTTCTTTGAATTATACCCATTAGACCAGCTAGCTGAAGGAGTAGCACTGCATGATATTGGAAAAACCCACTGTTTTGTTGTATATAAATAAAAGTTATCAAAATAACTTAAACATATCCCTATAATTATGTTCAAATGAGTTGATAATGTATTAATCGGGTTTAAATACAAATGTAAGAATAACCAATAGAATTATTAGATCTAAAATATATTGATATGGTGTTAAAATAGTAGACAGATACTCTTTCCTAAATCCAGTAGCAGTTATTTGCTGTTAAAAGGGTAGCAGTGCATCAGAAATTCTGAAAAAGCTCCTTTTTCTTTCTAAAGAAACAAAAGTGAGCCAAGCAGGAAAAGCAGACAAGCATACTTCTCAAACACAAGGAAAGTTGTGAATATTGAAAAATGTAAAAGTGAAGTCATTTACCTTAATGACTTGAATTAGAATCAGATAAACTAATTTTGTACATTTGCTACCTCCAGATACCTGATTTACCACAATTTATTAAATTAATGGAATATCTGACCTCCAATATGATATTGAATTATAACCCACAAGTATTATTTATAATTTTAAAATGAATTAAGAATTTCTTAATTAATTTATAGTTAATTAAGAATAGCCAGGGATTTAGCTCAGTGATGCTGCAGCCTGCCTCGCAAGAGCAAGGTCCTCAGTTCTGTCCCTAGTACCAAAAAAAAAAAAAAAAAAAAGATTGTTCTTAATGCAAATAATGGTTACACATTGGCCTCATATCATGAATTTTCTTCAAAGAATTTAAAAGATCTTATTCCTAAAACTCTAATGCTACCTATGAACAACTTCTTAACTCTATACTACAGGGCATCTTAATAAGAGTGTAAGTTTGCTGTTTCTACAAACATGCTGTGATATCTTAGAATTATCTTACTGTTTTGGTGGTCACTTTTACTCATGGCTAAAATGTCTGTTAAAAGTGTATGCTTTATAAGATATCTATAAATTAGATGTTTATTTTGATGTTAGAAATTTAGAACAGCTTTTTATTTATATGTGGATGATTGCAAAGTCTAAAGATTAATCAAAATACAATATGAAAATACAATATGTCATCTTACCATTCTTACATACCTACATTTCTGTTATAAGGACCTAATTCTCTTGGAATGTTTAAGAAAACATTGATGTCAAAGGCAGCTGTTACTCACAAGTTTCGCAAATTAAGATCCCCCACAAAATGCAGGGATTGTGAAGGCATTGTAGTATTCCAAGGTGTTGAATGTGAAGAGGTAAGATCTTTTGCAATTGCCTCGGCCCCCTTCCTTTTGTTACTATATTTTTTGTTATGGTTTTACTTATTAGAATCTATTAAAAAATATATTTTTAAGAAATTATACTAGCAGTATATCCACTATAAAGTTTGTACTTTTTTGTTTTTAAATATGTCAGATACTGCTAGCAGTACTTCTTACATTGATTTTTGCTATCACTGGTCTACCTATATTTTGCCAAGTTGTGAATAGTTCCAGGGTGAACTAACTAGTTTTAAACTATCATTCTCTTGTAGTGCTTCCTTGTTTGTCATAGAAAGTGTTTGGAAAATTTAATGATCATTTGTGGTCATCAGAAACTTCCAGGGAAAATGCACATATTTGGAGCAGAATTCATACAAGTTGCAAGAAAGGAAACAGATGGCATTCCTTTTATACTCAAAATGTGTGTCTCAGAGGTTGAAAATAAAGCCTTATCTTTACAGGTACAGTGTAACTCTTAAAATTTTAAAAATATGAATGTCTGAGTGATACTGTTTCTAATGAAGAGGAAACTTTAAAAGAAAATAATTTGTAATAACTAAGTTTTTTCAAATTTACTTGGAAAACGTTAATTCATTTGGCCCTGACTAGTTTTTTTCTAATACCAATGAAAAATTTTGAAAAAGACACATCATATATGTTTAGATAACTGCCTTTAACCATTGTACTAAAGCAGAATTTTTTCCTTTTTATTCAAGGGAATTTATCGTGTTTGTGGAAGCAAATTAAAAATTGAAAAACTGTGTCAAGCTTTGGAAAATGGAATGCACTTGGTAGACATGTCAGAATTTAGTACACATGACATCTGTGACGTCTTAAAGCTATACCTTCGACAGGTAAGGGTTTTATTCTACAAACCTGTTAAAAAGTAAAAATATAATTTGGATTTTGCTGATAATATTTGCTATACATATATTTTCATTGGCATAGATGATATTGATGTCTTTCTAATTATTAATATAAAGATCAAAGTGTTATAAACTATATGTACAATTTAAAGAACAGTAATAATAAAACTCACATTCCATCTCCTAGCTGAGAAAATTCCAATACATTATGCAAGATCTCCATATAGCTTTGCCTTCACTGGTACTTTAAAGTAGTTATTTTGGGAAATGAGTGGTAAAGGCCATGAAGATTAATCATATTTAGAACATCAGGCAAAACTACTAGCTATGTACCAGAAGTCTAGCAAAAATATGCTCAGGGAATAAGCTGTCCTTTTTTCTTTTCTCAGTATTATACCTGCGGTTTGCAAGAGTAGGTTCAAAGGAAACATACTGATGGGGTGAAATAAGTGACAGAGTGGTTATAGGAACGTCGGCTTATCATGAGCCAAGTATAAAAAAGATTTGGGCCAAACCCAGCTGGTATTCGGTCCTTGGGGAGAAATGAACATATAATAGCAGACAATGGCGCTAATACTTCTCAACATATTAATCTCTAGAGTGTAGATCCTTTCTAATATTGTGAGTAGCTGTCATACTAAGGTCTCTCTTTTGTTCTCCCTCCCTACCTCCCTGTCCCTCTCTCTCTCTCTGTGTCTCTCTTTCTCTCTGCAGAGGGGGGCAGTAAGGGGTTATTATCAAGGTTAAACCCAGAGCCTCACACTGAACTTTTTATTTATTGAGAAAGGCCTCAAATTGGCCCAGGCTGGCCTCAAACCTGTTATGTTGTTGCCTTGGCCATCTGAGTAGCTGGGGCTACAGATGTGTGCCTCCACACCTAAGCCTTCCTCTCTTGTGAAGGAACACCTCTCATACATTCTCCTGTTTTGGCTGTGTCCATCCTAGGGCAAAGTGGAATAGGAGTAAATAATCGAAAGCGTATTCATCTATAAATATCTTTATTCTGCTCTCTTGATAGAAATGGAATAGTGTGGAAGGTTATAGTATTCTAGGCTGGAAATTTTCTTTTGAATTTTGAAGGCAATTTGTTGTTTTTGTTTTTTTCTCTTTGAAGCCTAGAATACTTCTCATTTCATTCTTAACTCTTAATTGCTAAAAACTCTAGTTTTCTATCTCTTCACAGCAGTGTTTTTTTTCTGTGAGTGCAAACTCCTGTGTACCTAGGGATACTTGGGGGTTTTTTCTCTGCTTGTCCAGTAAAAATATAATGTGATTCTTACATATTATGTTAAATTTTCTAGTAGCCATATAAATTAAAATAAAGAGTTCATTTTTGTATTTTACTTGATATTGAAAATACTTCAACATCAATATTTTAAAAATTATTAGTGAAGTATTATCTTTCAGTTTTTAAAAATAGTGCTTAGTGTTTGAATCTGATACATGTTTTTCATTTAGAGCACATCTCAATTTGAATGAGCTGAGTTTCTAGTAGTCAGTGGCTACCATAACAACAGACTAGTTTTTAGACACATCAAAATTGTTTTTTCTATCCATTTTTATTTTTGTCCTTTGTGGTTGTTCTGTCTGTTCAATGTGAGAGTTGAGGATTTCTTTAGAAACTTTTGAATACATGAAAGCTTTGGAAACTCGGAGTTTTACGATAGGGTGCTCTAGGTAGACTGGGAAACACCTGATGTGTATGTGTAGATCCCTACTCTTGAACTGGTCTGATCCCCCTTCCCTCCCAGGATCTTTCCTTGCATACAGCCAACAAATCACCATTTTCAGACACTCTGGTATTGCCCACCCAGAGATCCTTTGTTTTACACTGCCCAGAGAAGAAATATCCACATTTCTGGGGAAGACATAGCTGCTCTGCAGTGTAGAATAGACACAGGAGTCTAGAGGTCTAAACTTTCTCAGATAATCATCCACCTCCCACTTCCTAAGATCAGAGGCTTCAGTGCTGATGATTTGTTTCCTTAGGATTCTGTAAATCATGATGATTTCACAGGTGTTCGGCTTCCTTATAACTGCTGCATCAGCACTTGTCTCCTCTTCCACATGATGCTGCTTTTGTGCAGTCTTATTTTTCCAGTCCCTGTACACCTATTGTATTTTAGTTGGGTTGCAGTGGGAAAAAAATTAAGGATAATTGTTGAATCTATGTTAGGCCAGGAATGTATTCACCTCTCTTTAATCACATTTTACAAAAAACCCTCAGGTAAGAAATGGAGGTTGAATACCTTTGAATGACCATATAAATTTCATCATGTGTGATCCTTTATCTCTTTTAGCCAGTTGAGGAGAAGAGATGAATAGGGTACAATACTGTGAACTCTCATTCTGTCTCAAAATATTATATGACTAAGACTTTCATATAGGAAGCCATGTTCATTTCTTACAGTGGTATCAGGGAGTAGCTTTCATTTTACTATGTGGAAACCTAACACTCCAAAAGATTAAGCCATCCTTCAGATCTTAAGAGTGGTGGAGGTGTAGGAATTGATCTCACAGTGGTACTTTTGTTTCCGCAGATAATATAAAACATCAGGTAGCCAAAGGTATAGTGTATTTTCTATTGCAGAGCTGGGGAAATATTGAAATTCATTATGGCAATGGGCATTTATTATTTTAAGAAAGGTGTTTTTTTCTTTTAACCTACTCATGCCTTGTCAGACTGTATTTAAAAATTACATAAATGTTGAAAATGTCTGTTTTGTAGGTCTTATTATTTGTGCTAATCTTTTAATCTGCCCCAACTAAAACACAGAGGTCCTATAACTTTTTGTGTTTTTTTTCTGTCACCCTCATCCCAACAAATTCCATATTCTCAACTTTTTTCTTATTCATTTGACTTTTGATCATTGTCCTATGTTTATTTTAATAAAACAATGGAAGATCATACTGACTTTGGACAATCATGAATATAATAGGTATCTATCTCAGGTTTGTTTGTTTGTTTTGGTACCAGTGATCAAACTTGGGACCTTGCGCTTGCAAGACAGGTGACAGCACCACTGAGCTAAATCCCCCACCCTATCTCAGGTCTTTTGAAAATCCCATCATGCAACTTTAGATTGAAGAGTTTTACTGATTATCTATTAACTTGTTTTCAATATAAATATAATTTATGGCAATAATTTCAGATTAACTTTATAGGTCCCAACTGTAGCAAACATGTACACGAAAAGATTAAATTTTAAATCTTGTTCATCTAAAGGGTTCATTGAGTAGCTGTTAGCAATAGTTGACTGTTAAGAGAAAAGTAGACAAAATAATATTTCTAATGTGATTTTATTTCCTTAGCTCCCAGAACCATTTATTTTATTCCGATTGTATAAGGAATTTATAGACCTTACAAAAGAGATACAACATGTAAATGAAGAACAAGAGATAAAAAAAGACAGTACTGAGGACAAAAAATATCCAAATATGTGTATAGAAATAAACCGAATTCTTCTAAAAAGCAAGGACCTCCTAAGACAATTGCCAGCATCAAATTTTAACAGTCTTCAATACCTCATAGTACACCTTAAACGGTAAGAATTTTATATAAGTAGAGCTAGTGGGTAAATAGTTTTTCTGTTAAATAAAATTTACTGTCCTAACCACTTTTAAATGTACAGTAGTTCAGGAGTGTTAAATACATTCACATGTTGAGGTATTTTTTAAATGGTTCATTGTTGTTATATAGTAGGGTAAGAGTGACATCTAATATGTACTGATGCAGTTAACATTGTTCCCTCAGATACCTCCTTTTGCTTCTGGCTAGGTTTCTGCCATCTGTGGGCTTAACATCTTGGGGGACAGCCTGCATACAAGCACAGTACCACCTCATTCTTGTTCCAATGGCTCTACACAGCATGCGGGGGGGGGGTTGGGGTGGGAGTAGATCAAAGAAGAAAGCTCTTGAATCAGATTTAAAAACTGAGTACTGATTTGGTTGGTAACATGTGGAAGAACGTTATAGGTAGAAGGTAACAGACGGAGTCAGGACATCATTTTGCATCTGAGAAATACAGTTAACTTGGTTAGGCTACAAAATAGCAAGCAGTAATAGGAACTGAGCTACCTAGAGGACTAACAATAAAATTTTACATACCCAGCAGATGAGTTTGATCATCTTGTTTCTGTACCCACTAAATTATTTGAGCCAGGAATTTAACGTGCTCAGATTTGCCTGTTAAATCTTCGTGGCAAAAGTATGGAAAATGGGTTTGAATGGAGACCTTTGCTGCAGTTCAGCTCTTGACTAGTCATCCCCCAAAAAAAGGCTGTCAGAGCTTAAAGTAAATGAGAGTAGAAGTGGTGATTGAACAAAGAGATCTTTAGAAGAATAAACTTGGCTGGAAAACTAGTTATGATCATTGAGAGAAATTTACAGTGATATTTCAGTTTCCAGTATAAAGAGTTGAGAGGATATATCATGTACTCAGATGGGAGCAATTTTTAGGAGTTGTTTTTTGTTTGTTTTGTTTTTCTCCTTCTAATAAAACATTAGTAGTTCTTTTATTACTTGAGTTTTATCCTAGTAACAAAGCTATAAAACCCAGTTTGGTGTGGTAAATATTTTATTCAAATAATTGTAACCCTTGGCCCTTCACAAACTTTTCCTAGTGTTTTGCGCTCATTTTTCTTCCACATTCCCAACCCCCACAGTAAACCAACATTAAAGAGCTCTAACAGACAAATCTCATACAGTTATATTTTCTGCTTTGCAGGGTAGTAGATCATGCAGAAGAAAACAAGATGAATGCCAAAAACTTGGGAGTGATATTTGGACCAAATCTAATTAGACCAAGGTCCACAACTGCTCCTGTAACTATCTCCTCCCTTGCTGAATATTCAAATCAGGCGCACTTGGTAGAGTTCTTAATTACTTACTCACAGAAGATTTTTGATGGCTCTCTGCAGCCACAAGATGTTACATGCAGTACAGGTGGTGGTGCACCTCTGGTTGATCAAGGCTCTCTTCTGAAACCTCTGTTAGCACCAGAAGAAAAAGATTCAGAACATTGCATGAAGTCACTATTTTTTTCTTCAAAGGAAGTGAGTTTTGACCTTTTATAGACTTACATTAGAACATTGTAATGCTTAGATTATTAAGTTAACAATCTTGGAGCTATTTATTTTGAGGTGTTGTGCTTTTTCAAGTTTACAAATTCTCTTCCATCATCAACAGGATATCCATAATGAAAGCAACATTTTGCAACCAACTCGATCATCTGAAGAATCAGAACACAAGCAAAATGCATTGGGAAAATGTGATGCATGTCTCCTTGGTGAGTAGCCATGTAAAAAATCTGTTTGCTGACATAAAACTTAGCAAGTAAGCCATGATTAAAAGAGAAGATAAGTGGAGTTGAGGGAAATCCAAACTTTAGAGCTATGTTAGTTGATGAATCTTTGCTAGCCACTGAGAAATTGGCCTTTTAGTGTATTTTGCAGTTAAATGAACATCATTCATCCTAGTATCTTTTTATAAAAAGACATCTTGGAATTCATAGGTGCTTTTTGTGCTCCTGAAAGTTTTTTCTTTATTGATTCTTGTCAATAAAGTCAAGGCCGAAATATGTTGAACAGTGTGCTAATTCATAGCATCTTCTATATTATAGTTCAGGGTATTGCTCTAACTGCTCATAAGGAGTCAAACCAAACTAAAATTTGACTTTAAAATTGTTTTTCACAAACTCTTAGCCTTCCTTTCACATATTAAACACATATGTCTTGCATTTCTGACTGTGGTCATTTTATTGTTTTTTTCTTCTGATAATTTTATTGTTATAAGTGCTAAGCTGGTGGAAAAATACTAAATTGTGATTTTTACAATATAGTTCTGGATGTTAAATTGGGTATAATATCAATATCAATATCAGGAATTGAACCTAGTCCTGTATGATTCCTAAACTTAACCTTTTTTTTCACTATTTCACAGATTGGAATCCTAATTAGGAATAGGACTGAAAGTAATTGAAGACCTTAGTTTTCCACTGTCATTGTACACCAGACAGCTCTAAGCACTGTTCTTGTTAGATACTTACACCACAGGACAATACAGATGCACACAGGAGCACTTCTTGACAGATGAAGGCACAAGTAGAGCAGGAGCTGAGCCAAGACCCGGGCAGGTGGCTGCAGAGCCTGTGCTCTTCTCCACTGTGCTAGAAATTCATCCTTTACTAGGGCAAGGATGTGCTTTGGTGCTTACAGGCCAAGTGCAGTGGGTCACATCCATTAGGGTGTTCTGTAATTGTGGGGAAGGGCCTGGGACAGCAAATCACAGAGCGTTGCCTTGGGACCCAGGGAAGAGGGGCCAGCAGCCCCTGGTGAGGAAGGAGGTGAGATGAGACAAAGACTGACCAGTGATGCTGCCGGGCACCTCTCTGCACGCCCCTGCCCAAGGGTGTAGGAGAAGGACCGGGTGACAGGGAAGAGGCCTGTGGGCTGTGCGCAGGGCCAGCTGCACTGCAAAGTCAGAGTGGTGTCAAGGTGCTGAGTCACTTGATATCTCTCAGCACCAAGGAAGAGTGTGAGCAGAGGCCTGGACCTTTCCAGAAATTGGGGTTTTTAGGGGAGGGGGGTGCACAGTGGGACAGGGTATGAGGAGTGACGGGCCCTGCAGGAGAAAGCATGGACGAGGGGACAGACTAGAGAAAAAGGAGAAGGTAAATCTGGGAGCAACTTGTGTACATGGAGAGAATGGCATTTTTTTTTCACTTAAAATACAACTTTTTGACCTTAATTTGACCTAATGGGTGTTCCAGTTGATTAGTTGATCAGCTGTGGAGAATATCCAAAGCCTCTAACAAGCTGTACTTAACTCTCACTGTGGACTGAATGTAACTGAAAAGCAGTTTCAGTGTTGACAAAATCCGTGGGGTTCAGGGGATGCCTACATTTGGTTGACCTGCAGAGTGGTTTAAGTTTTCTGCAGCTAGTTTACTGGTTTCTGCCCGTTGAAATCATGACAGTTTTCGACCCAGAAAATTACACATTCCTGGGCATTATATTAAAATAAGTTATTTTAGAAATTATTTTGTTTTGTTTTTCTCCTAGCCTATAATGTGCTTTGTGGCTATTTATTATATTGATTTAGATAATTCAGAATAACAATTCAGAATACATCTTTAATACTGTTTGAATGTTGAACTCCATTGCTTATCCAATTGAAATTATCAAGTTAGGAAAAATATGTAACAAAGCTGTTGTTTTGCATGCCTGTCTGTAATTTTCCTGTTAAACATAAACCACAAAGTAAAATACATCTTTCTTTTTCAGACAACAAAGTACGTTTGCTTCTAGACCCAGAGCTTGAATCAGCATCCCAAAAGATAGAGGATGTTTGTAAAACTTCTAAACCACTTACTGTGAAATCTGATAGGGTAACGAACAATATGTGGAGGTATATTCCAAGGACCAAGGCAAGACCTGTAAGTTTGCCTCTAGATAGACTACTTGCAAGCCCTCCTAGTGAGAGAAATGGCAAAAATATGGGAAATGTAAATTCAGACCAATTTTGCAAGACTCCTACCTTTGAAGAACTTAACAGAAGAGATATTTCCCCTACTGTTTGTTCCAAATTTAATGGCGTTGACCAGCAAACTCTACAAAAAACTTGGGCCAAACAATGTGAACAAAACTTAACTGCCAAGACAACAGTAATAATGCCCAATACTCTCCAGGAAAAAGGAGTGCCAGGCAGGATCAGTGGGGACGATTCTAGTAATGCTGCCCAGCTCAGTAAGCCTTATACAGAGCCACTCAGATCAGCAAGAGAAACATCAGAGAGACGGTCCTCAGATTCCTACGCTCTTGCTGCTGTCAGAGGACCCAGAACACTGCAGCCCCAGCACTGGACGACGTTTTACAAGCCACACACTCCCATCAGCAGTGTGAAAGGGAGTGAAGAGAAACTGGTTTATTCCACAGCAGCAGTACCTCCTAGCTCAGCTCGTACTGCCCAGGGGCAGCTGACAAAATCACTTCCAGACTCATATGACATATCAGCTTGTCCTGCACAGCTGAGTAGTCAGCCTAAAGAAAACTCCGAGGAACATGACTTCCCTGATGTGACTCCAATGTGCCAGAGACCAAAGCTAAAACGAATGCAACAATTTGAAGACCTTGAAGACGAAATCCCACAGTTTGTGTAGAGTTATCAAAATTCGGGGTTTCTTTTTTTCTTTTATATTGTTTTTCTAGTGTTACTTTTCTCTTGTTCCTAAAATAAAATACCAGACACCAAAAGTTGGAAGAGACAGGGAGGGAGCAGAAACAACATGGCACACACAAGCAAGGATAACAAGAGAGTTAGCAGCATCTCCCTGTCCATTTGTATTATTCAGAAGACTCAGAGCGGGTAGCTCACAACTAATAGATGTAGTTTGGGAAAAATCTTTTTTTTTAATAAGACTTCATCCTTATTTATAAAATATTTCTTAATGCAAATGCCTGAAAGATCTTTATTTGATACGAATTTTTTCCACATTATTTTATAGTGCATCTTTGACCATTTAGGCTTTTTTAGTATGTATGTAAGCTTTTATTTTTCAATTGGCAATTCATAAAATATTTCTTAATGCAAATGCCTGAAAGATCTTTATTTGATACGAATTTTTTTCCACATAATTTTATAGTGCATCTTTGACCATTTATGGTTTTTTAGTATGTATGTAAGCTTTTATTTTTCAATTGGCAATTCACTTAACATTTATTTACATAATGGCCAAAAAGTTTGCAAATCTATATTTAATTACATTTTAATTAATTTCCAGTTTTTATATGTAGTAGTCAAATTATACAAAGAAAATGCACTTAAACCTTTATTTCTAAATTATATAGTTCAGTTATATCTTATTTGGCTTTAGATGATTTTAATACATTTGATAGTTACCCTTTAGCTTTGTCTGCATAAACTTGTTTTTCAACATTTTGAACTCTTTAGTATTTTATATAATGGTCCCAAAAATGTGTTTCATAAGTTTTTAAATTAAAAAGAAAAGTTTTTAAATTCAACGTATTTCCTTTTGATATTGTCTAGGTTTTGTTAAAACAGTTTATTTTGTATGAAATGTTTTGACTTAAAGTCATTTTGTACTTTTTTTACCTAGACTATCAACCATTGAAAATGTACATTTCATCCAAATTGAGCAAAGATTTATTTGATTCTAAGAATACAGTTTAATAAGCTTCATTATTTGGAATTTGAGAGAAGGTATAGATGACTGGATCTATTTCATTTATAAAATAACTAGTTTTTAGAACTATAATACATCCATATTTTCTGAGTTCCATCGTATTTGTCAAAGATGGGATATAAAAGGGACAAAAAGTAAAATGTTTGCATGTGTGAATTATATTTCTAGTGAATGCTTTGTATGGCTATGTTATAAATGATAAAAAATATATGTATGTATATATTAACTTGTTAAATTATTTCAAGTTCTTGTGGCTTCTGAAATTGTTACCTCTTAAAATGTGATACTTTAAGGTTATTAACCATTAATTTACTGGTCAACGCCTGGGTTTATACCTCATTTGACTAAAACGTGTAAAGTTTTTTATAGCAAGTTGCTTTATAGTTAGTTCTCTGTGATGGTAAGGCCTGAAGAGAAATAGACTTTTTTTTTGCCAAAGCCTTGTTTTTAGTCCTGTTGTACAAAATATAAAAGAGTCATATTGCTGTGAAAACAGAAAGTCAGAGCCGACATTTACTGATCCTCTTTTATGTACTAGAACTCTGCCGAGTTCTTACATTTCACAGCAACCTATGAGTTGAGATGAAGACACTTTGATCTTAAGCAAATCTAAGTGTATCTCATTTCTTAATTCAATTTAAAGATGTCTTATGTCTACACTATTTCCAGATAACATTGTGTATTTATATAACCACAAACATCTCTAAAATGACAACTATTGTGTATTTTTAAATAAGTTATGGGCAGTGTAATTTTCTGGATTTTTTTCTTTCTTGGAGGCAGGAAATTATCTTCATGTGTTGATACAGTTATATATATAGACAATTCAGTTAATATCTGTAGTTTAGCATGGACTCACAATTGGTGTACAAAAGTCAGTTGTATTCTTGTAAATGAAAGCTTTTCAACAGTAGAATAAAAACGTTGGCATACCTAAAAATAAGTCTTAATAAAAAAGTGTTCAAGACGTTCCTTTACTCTTCATTTACTTATACAGTCAATATAATTTCAACCAAAATATTTGGAACTGTTTGAAAGTTGTAGGCACGATGCTTCATTACCTCTACCTACTGGCGTGTATATTTAAAACACTGGCACTCTTGATTAACTGTAGTGTGCCCATCAAACTTAAATCATAAGGGCATGTAATCCACAGACTGAATTTACGTCTTCCCAATTGCCCCAGTAGTGCCCATTTCTGTGTCAGTATCCCACCAAGATCACATGTTGTATTTAGTTGCCTTATCTTTTGGCTACCCTTTAATCTAGAACAAAATTCATAATATTTTAAAATGAGCAATTATTGAATATTGAGCTTACTAGGGAAAGTACACAACTTTATATATATTTACTAAAAATGTTTAAAAAGACAAATTTATAGAAAGTTTATAATTTTTCAATCCCCGGTACAAAAAAAATAAATAATTTTGGCTTCAGCTGTAATTCAAATAGTGTTTAATACTTCGATAACCACATCGTGTACTGTTTTTAGATGTCTCAATCAGCCAATCATTCATATAAAATTAACATAAATTTTAGAAAATAAGGTTAAAGACTAATTGGTCATGCTTTTGAAATACAGTGAGTTCATCTTCGGCTTCTTACAAAAATAAGAAATAATAGTTACCACATGAAAACCTGTTTCTGGATATGGTCCTGCCCACTTGTTACAAGGCATGGCCTTCTTAAGAGATGAAGTAACACTGAATAGCGCACTTTTCACTGTCTAGGCAGTCGCAATTGATAGGTAAATGTAACTGAAATATAAAAAGACATCAATTGTTAATTATGGGTAAGATCTTATTTACAGCTTTAGGCCTAGTACCTGTTAGGATTAGTTGCTGTCTAAGTTAACTCTGTCTCATTATATTTATTAAAATTTTTTTGGTATCGGGGATTGAAATCAGCACCTTGCGCTTGTGAGGCAGGCATGGTGTCACGCGCTAAATCCCTACGCTGTGTCTCATTTTGTATCAGAATTTTTTCCTATGTCTTCTGGCAGAATCAAAACTTTTCTGTAAGTGACTGTTTTTCTCAAGGTTGTTAGAATTCATCTAGTCATTTGCCAAACAAATGATTCAACATAGGAGACAAGGACAGTGAATCAGAGTCTACAGATTCCCCACATAAAAGAGCAAATACATAAATAATTGAATAATTTGGATTACTGAGAGTTTTGGATGAGCTTTTAAAAACTGAATCGTAAGGCAGAAGTATGTAAATATATGCATATTATTAAAAGAGTAGTTGTAAAATGAACTCCCATATGCACCCAGCACCCTTAACAATGTTAGGGAACCACTAGAACATCCCTTCCTGATCACATGGGTAAACACTATCTTGAATTTTGTTACTCCCTAGCTTTTAAAAAAATCTGTTTTCTCTATACTGCTTAAATTTGCCAAATTTTTGGACCCTTTGTGAGTAGATTTTTTATTCTTTTGTAACTTGCTTCTTAAATTCAGCATGTTGTTGAGATTAATCCATGTAGATTTTTGTAACTATAGTTTTTCCCTCTTTAAAAATGACTAAATTTTCCATTGGATGAGTACACTACAATTTATCATTCATCCTAGTGTGGGTAGACATTTAGTTTACTTTCACTTGCTTTTCCCACTAAACAATACTTCACCAGAAACTATCTTTAATTTTTATTTTCTTTTTTAATAGATCTGCTTTGTGGTCATCTCATTTAATTTTTTTTTTTTTTTTTTTTTGGTACCGGGGATTGAACTTAGGACCTTGTCCTTGTGAGGCAGGAGGCAGAACCACTGAGCTAAATCCTGGCCCCCATCTCATTTAATTTTTATCATAGCAGGTAATGTTAATTGCTTTTTATGGAAAAGCAAAGTTACGTAGCTTACTATAGGTTACATAATGACTAAAAGGTGATAGGACTTGTCTTTATTATAAATTCTGTCTCATTTCTAAATTCGTTCATCAAGCCAGAACCTACCACAAATATTTTTAGACTTTTTCTTTCTAGTTGGTAGGATGCGGAAGTTCAGGGTTATACCCTTCACAACTGCAAGATTGCCTTCAGTGTGTGTATATAAAAGTTTACTCATTTAGTTAAATTTTGCATCTAAAATTCCTGAGTTTTTCTGGTTACAGTGAGTTTGTGTAGGTTACACTGTGTTAATGAATGAGTACAGCAGATACCAATTGTCAAGTTGACCCCTCCACCCACTTTCTCAGAAGAGCAGAAAACTATGCTGTAGTAGAGAGCTGTGAAGATTAAACACAGAAAAGACAGGAATTGAAAGAGATGTCTAGCATCTGCTCAGAAACAGTCCACAGCCCAGGTGAGAAAAAGTTCCTAAATTAAGTCACCATCTATGAGGATGATGACCTAAATTCCAGTTTATTTTTAAGAACATAATTGACAGGGATTAGTGACCCATTGTGAATGTGGAGTTGGGCAGGGTAGAGAAAGCCTGTAAGCCTATGGACAAAATAACTCTTGAAATATAAATGTTGCACACCACCTGTAAATCTCAGCTTCTTGGGAGACTTGGAGGAATCTGAGAGACCATGTCTACAAAAATAAATGAAGGAAAGGGAAAATACAACTGAAAACAAAGGATGTCTTGCTTTCTCCTTTTGGTAAATGAAGTATGGCGATTAGAAATTAAAGGGTGGCAGATTTCATGTTAGTACTCTGTAAGGAAGTCATTTATGATTAGAACTGATTTAAAATGCAGTATCTTGTGATTTGGTGAATTCTCAAAAACTTAGTGTCCAAGACAAAAACTAAATCACTACTAGGATTTATTATTATTGAGATAATTGAGTTTAGATGATACATATAGAACTTTCAAATTCTGATCCTAAAATTCTATGACTTTGAATTAAAGTACTATAGGAGATATTTTTAGTCACCAGAAATTCTGGTGCATTTAATAATTGCTGTATTAGGTAGTTTTGGCATTTTCATTATGCTGCTGCTATTAATGTCAGCAAGGAAGCATTTAAACTTTTTTTTTTTTTTTTTTTTTTTTT